TTGTTAAGGAAAAGATGATGATGAATGAAGTTACACCGGATGAAGTTTTACTTGGCGTCGAGCCGTTTAATAAAAGAAGTGAAAAGAGAGTTGCGACACAAAAATAATATGCGAACAAATGATAAATAATAACACTAGTATTACTGTGAAATAACCGTTGACAAGAAAACAATAAAAGTTAATCGAAACACGGTGGCGTTTTCTGGTTGATCCGGTGGACGGCGAATCACAGTGTCAAAGGTGTCCCGAAGAAGACTGACTCGACGTATTATTGCGGCGGGGTATACGACGCTAGGCATTTGTTGGACTTTACACCACGACGATAACGCGTGTGTGTGACGGTCCGGTTTACAGTTAAGCGGTGGCTGAGAAGGAGCTGACACGACCGCGGGGTGTCAACGTGTGACAACGCCGTGGCCGTGTCAAAGTCTACTGGCGTTTTCGATGAGCTCCAAAAGAGAACAACGCACAGCGATCCGTGTCCAACAGCCAGACGTTACTGGGTCGATCGATAACAACAATGTAGACAGATTTTTATTGCGATCTAAAAGTAAAAAATAAAATCATGAAACACAAAAATCCAAGTGGCCTAATAACAAAAAATTCGTACTGTACCTTTTTGGTGAGGGGAGGACGGTCTTAACGAAAATCAACAGCGCAGAACGTTCAATACGCCGTGGGTACGAAAGAATTGAAAACGGTGAGATATCCCAGGGCCTGCACGGTCTGAAATTCATAAATCCCATAAATTAATACAGTCATTAATATTATGTAATCATCAAAAAAGTAAATATTTAATTATTGCACCATTTGTGTACGACTGTATAATTGTACAACAATCTTAAACGTTACAATACACAATTGGGATAGAACACCACGGAGACGTTCAAGAATGTGAATAAATAAATATGCAAACAAAAATTAAAATAATTTACATAACACATTAATTAATGTGTTTCGTGATGACTGCATTAGTCGTCTCCGCAGTATATAAATAGTTAACTATTGCAATTTCTGTAAGACAGTGTAGTCATGTACACGTATTAATAAGTGAAGAGATGTTCGCGAGTGTGAATACTATAACAAAAATTGAAATTTTATATATAAAAAAAACGAATTATTACCAGTCTAATAAATCTGTTGACGATTAGAGCCAGTATACTTGGTCGGCAGGCCGAGCCAATATCGAAGCAGTTCCCAGGATCTGAAAATTACAAAATCATATATTAATCAATACTGTCATTACCATGATTATGTAAACGATTTTAAAATTATAACATAATTATTGCAATAGCTGTGAAATCGTCAATCGGGGGACTTTCAATAACAAATAATCATAGAGGATACCACAAATATAAACGTAGTACACGCAAACAAAAAACTGATTAAAAAAAAAAAAAAAAAGTATATAAATGTAAATATATATATATATATATGGATTGTATAAACTGATGTAAAACATATTGCAGCAATAAATGAAATACAAATCGACCTAATGATTAAAATATGCAAAGTAAATCGATTGAAATGTAAAAAGAAGAACTCTATTTTGAGATACTCGAGAACACCACAAAGATGTTCATGAGTGTGAATAAATAAACATGACAACAAAAATTAAAAATTTATGATTTAGTTCAACATACAACACATGGTGTAGTCACCAATAGATAATATACTGACCGACTAATTTTAATTAACAAATGAAAATGAATTACCCGCGTAATAAATCCGTTATCCATTAGAACCAGCACTTTTGGCCAACAGGCCGAGCCATTATTGAAGCATTCTTCAGGATACAACAAACTCCTTCTAAATATTACAAAATCAAATTAATCAATACTGCCTTTACCATAATAATAATAATATATAGATCTACAATATTATTATTACAAATGCTGCGAAATTGTCAATAAAACATTTCAATAAGAAATATTCATTTAAAAAAAAAAATAAAATGATTACATGTATACATATATAAATATATATATATCAGTGTTGAGAAGGAACTAGTTCCAAAAGGAACGGATTCCTGGAACGAGTTCTTTTTGAAGGAACGATGCTAGGAACTGCTTCCTTTTAAAATAAAGGAACGAGGAAAATGAACAAATTCCATTTTTTAAGGAACGTGAACGGAAATTACAGTTCCTAAAATTTTTTATAAACATGTTTTAGTGTAGTTTTCTTCGTATCTAGACATTAAAATATTATGGTATTTTTAGTTGACTTTTGACAATGGAAGTCCCCTATATACCCAGCCGAGATCGTAGGCTGTTTAAATGAATCAATTGATTATAGATAGAGTTATTATCACATGTAGGTATACAGTAAATATTTAATATATGTGTACATATATTAAATAATGCACCGAATATTATCGTCGTTTCTTGTTAACTAATTTATGTTAAAGGTTTTGGGTTTTCTGATTTATTATTTCTAACTTATATGTAGACAATAGACATTGGTCGCGTTGACACAAGTCGTTAGCATTTACTACCTGCTTATAAATATAATTTTCGAATACTTTTAGATAAGGAATACTACAAATTTGTTTTGTATTCGACTGCTGATGAAAATCATTGATGACCGTTATCATGATCTCATTGCCACAATTTTTTAAATAACTTATAAAAGGAACGAAGAGTGGAACGAGTTCTTATTTTGGAGGAACTGGATCTGGAACAAGTTCCTTCTTAATATAAAGAATTAGGATCTGGAACGAGTTCATATTTTAGAAAATGAACGGGGAACGGAACGAATTCCATTTAAAAAGGAACTTTCCCAACACTGATATATATATATATATAGAGAGAGAGAGAGAGAGAGAGACAATATAGTATAGACTGATGTAGCACACATTGCAACAATAAACAAAATACAAATCAACATATGCCAAGAAAATTAATTTAAATGTAAAAAGATGAACTCTACTCAGAGAAAAGTCAATAAAAATAAATTTTTTTTTGACAAAAGAATTACCCGTGCAATAAATCTAAAACTATCAACAACAATCTCCAGCACAGTCATCAGAGCACAACGGATACCATCTGAAAATTATAAAATCAAATCAATTAATACTGGCGTTACAACGATTTACAAAATCACATTGACTATTAAGAATAATTACAGAAATAATGAGAAATAAACGACGACGTAGAAACGGCGGTCGAGGACGACGCACAAAACGGCGGCGCGGTTGTGATAACGACCGCGTTCGGGCGTCGGGCCGAGCGGGAGGCGCGCTCCCCTATTTCGCGTCGTTTTCCGTTCCACAGAAATCGGAAATTCGCGAATAAAAAAAAGCGGGTACGGCGAAAAATTCGAACGAAGGGAGGAAAAGACGCGAAACGATAGGGGCCGTCGAACGGTACGGGACGGGAGGCGATAGGAGAAAAACGGGAATTTTAATACGTAAAAAACGCAATATCTCTTCCAGGTGGAGCATATTTTGAGGGGCTGAGAAAATAGTATATAGCTGGAGACTAGAGATAGCTAGAGACTAGAGATTGGTTTTTTATAACATCGATATTAGCAGGTACTCAGCATTGTTATTATCAATGATAGTAAGGTACATTGTTGTGAGTTTATAAATACACTAACTGACAATAAAAAAAGTATATTTATTGATAGTTATAATTGATAATAAACAATCCGTGACTGTGACAGCAATGTCATAAAAAACTAATTTTAAATATATATACTAATATTAATAATAATAAATAAATATATCGATTTAAATGTTTAATTTTAAGCAATTATCAAGAGAATAATTACACACCTCTAAATATAAGAAATTCGTATATTACATTGAATTAAAATTTTTTATCAACTCAAAAATAAACAGTTTTTAAATTTCTATATTATATTATTTTATACATAAATGTGAAATTAAATTTTAAAGTAAAGTTTAATTATTTGTTGATCATTTAATTATGTGCGTTTATCGATATATATTTTTAAGTACTAAACTCATTGTAACCTAAGATAGTCTAATAATATTGATTTATGTACTATAGAATTAAATTTTCAATGGTTTAATCTTAAAAATATACATCTTAAGATATTTTAGGAGTAATTTTATTCAATTTATCTTTATTTTAAAAATTACAAATTTAAAAATCGATAAATTTCGAAATTTTAGCTTCGATGCGAAGCTGAGAAGGTATTAATTTTACTATGATGTGTTTTTTTTTTTATTTTTTTTTTTTGTGTCTGTGAACGCTCAATCTGAGCTCTCGCTGGACCGATTTTGATGAACAATATGTCAAAAGATCACAAATCGTATCTAGTCGAAGACATTACCCTCAAAAATTGAAAAAAATTCCCTCGTTCCCCGTAAACGGGGGAAATCCCCCAAAAAATTACAAATTTAAAAATCGCTAATTTTCGATATTTTTTCAATTTTTTTTACTTAAAATTGCCATAACTTTTTTAAAAATGACCGAATCAATATAATTTTTTTTTTTATAGATACCTTAGATAATTACCTATCATTTTATATATTTTTGTGAACATTTGACCCTTTAACAGCCCAAAGGATGGGGTTTCAAAATGGTAACTTTTTTACAAAAAATTAACTTTTTCAACTTAACTTTTGAAAATGTTCCGGAAAGACTGACAATTTTATATATACCTTAAATTAAAGCTAATGTAATATACTTTAATTTGAAAAAAAAAAATTTGACCTCTGGACTTGTCTTCATGGTGAAAATGACTACCGTATGCAAAAATATGCTATTTTTGTGAAAAAATTCTTGATATTATATTTTACATTTTTTAACATTATGTTGCTATAACTTTTTAAAAAATGCATGAATCAACTTTATTCTTTAATGATAAATACTTTATATATACTTCTTTCATTCGACATACTTTTTTTTAAAATCGGACCATTTCCCTTTATACAGGGGGGGTGCAAACCTTTTAAAATGCGTATAGAAAGTAGAACTTTTTCAACTTAACTTTTGAAAATGTTCCGGAAAGACTGACACTTTTATATATATCTTAAATTAAAGCTTATGTAATATACTTTAATTTGAAAAAAAAAAATTTGACCTCTGGACTTGTCTTCGTGGTGAAAACGGACATCAAAGTTAAAGAAAAACGTACGATTTCCGTGAAAAAAATCTCGATTTTATATGTTATATTATTTAATTTATATTTTATATAACTTTTGGAAAAATGTATGGATCTATATTATTATTTTTTTATAATAAATATTGATATACCCCTTTCATCTGGCACGCTTTTTTTGTAAATCGGATCATACCCCTTTAACAAGGGGGGTCAAAACTTTAAACATGCGTATTGTTACTACGATATTTTCAATTTAATTTTTGAAAGTATTCCGGAAATACTGACACTTTTAAATATATCTTAAATTAAAGCTTATGTAATATACTTTAATGTGAAAAAAAAAAATTTGACCTCTGGATTTGTCTTCATGGTAAAAATGACTACCGTATGCAAAAATATGCTATTTTTGTGTTAAAATTCTGGGTTTTGTATTTTATTTTATTTTAAAATACCTGACAAGGGGAGTACAGATTTTCATAAATATTATATAAATTAAAATTGATATAGTATAGATAGTTAAACTTATTTAAATATGTTTGTTTCTTTTAAGTCGAGAAAAATAACTTTGAAATTTGAACTAGCTTAAATAGCCAATTTTTCAACCGCCGGAAGCAACGTACGGTTGCCGAGTTGGTAAAATTTATGTTTTACACGCTTGGGGTACGAGGTTCCAACCCGCATATGGCAATGAATTTTTTGCATTTTTTCTTAATTCTTTTTAAGTTAGTATAAATTTTAACTCGTTTGATTTTTATCACATTTAGATTCAATAACTTCAATAAAGATCAAGGATCCCATCACTTTAGTCGCCCCTTGCAAGAAGAAATTTCTTATTCGTATTAAAATTATTTTACTATATTTTAAGTTTTCGCTTCGATGCAAAGCCGAGAAGATATTTTTTTGTGACTATCATTTATTTTCTCTGCTCTAACTTGACCTACTTTTTTCAACAATACGTCAAATTACTACAATTCGTATCTAGTTGAAGATATTACTCTCAAAAATTGAAAAAAAAATTCTAATTTATCAATTAAACAGTTAGTTATTACATCGTCTCCATAAAGACAATTAAAATCATTAATTTCTAATGTTTTCAAAATATTTATTAACGAATGAAGTTTGATATGATAGGTTTCAACTACAAAATTAAATCATTTTACTTTGTAATTTAATAATTTTATTACTCTGTTTGTGTGTGCTACTATTAGACTATAATATTCAAATTTTTTTCTAACGTGTTGCTATATAAATCATTTCTAAAAAAAATGATTGTTTTTTCTCCTGAATTAACAATTGATTTTTACAAATATAATCAAATTTTATAATAAACTCAATTGAGTAAATCTTTTTAACAACTTTGTTTTGATTGGTACATTTAGTTAAAGTAAATCATTAAAATTAATTAAGTTCTCAATATTTCAATTATAGAATCTTTTCAACAAACAACAAAAGTTCCTAGGAAATTATTACTATTACTTCTATTTAAGTTATCTATTACCATAAAAATGCAAAAAAATATTGAGCTTTTCTGATAAATTTACAATAAATAGTAATTATAAAACTTTCTGACTGCATATTGATCTTAACGATACAATTTTTTTAATTGTCATAAAATTTTCTATTTAATTATGTCAATGTCAAACTTACCAATTGAGCTAAAAGTTATGGTAAAATAAATTTTTTTTTTTTTTTATAAACATTTACAACAATCAACTTTAAACGATTAACAAAATTGGTTAAATATGTCATTTTCCTTATTTTTAACTTATTAATAATCAAATTAATATTAAATATTATATCAAATCAGTATTAATTTAAAACAATTTTTTTTGTTCTTAATTATTTTTTTTTATATGTAAAAACTATTTTTTAATAATATTAAAACTTAGAAGTTATAGAAAAAGTCTAATTGCACATTTTAAAACATCGCGAAAAGTTGATTTAGAATAGTATATTTTTGTTTCTGATGGAAGTTCCTTGTAGTCCAGTGTATAAAACTTATAACTTTGTTAATTGTTATAACTTTATCAAAAATGACCAAATCAGTATATTTTTTTTTATTTAGATGCATGTCTTTATCTATCATTTGGTTTTTTTTATAAATCTAACCCTTTACCTGCCCACAAGAGGGATTCAAAATATTAACTTTTTTTTTTTTAGTTAAAGTAAATCATTAAAATTAATTCAGTTCTGGATATTTCAATAGTAGAATCTTTTTAAATATCAAAAATTACTTAGAAATGATTACTATGATTTCTATTTAAGTGTTCTATTACGATAAAAATGCAAAAAATAATGAGTTTTTCTGATAAATTTACAATAAATAATAATTATAAAACTTTCTGACTGCATATTAATCTTAAAAATAACATTGTTTTAATTCTCATAAAATTTTCTATTTAATGATTCATTCTAGTCAACGAAGGAGTAATTTTGCAGAATAGCAGAAAAAATTCCCAACAAACTTTTTTTTTTTTTGTTTTAATTAGGCAATTGGTGGATTATTCCAAAAGCAACATCAACTCTTATTTCTTTAATTATATCATGATTAGTAGTTCTTTGATTTTAAAATATAATATTTGAATATATACTAATTATAATTATTAAATTTAGTATGAAATTGATATTTAATATTGTAATTTAAACGGAGAAATTATAAAAATAATAAAGAAGTTATATTTTGCTTTACTTTTACGTGTATAAAAATTTAAAGGGCTTGATACAATAATTTTCAATAAAAACTGTTTGTTACTATAAAAAAATGCACTGGACTACAAGGAACTTTCATCAGAAGCAAAAATATACTTTTCTAAATCAACTTTTCGCGTTGTTTTCAAATCTGCAAGTAGACTATTTCTATCACTTCTAATTTTTTATATTATTACTAATTATATATATAAAATAATAATTAAAAGAAAAAAAAATTTGTTTTCAAATTATTACTGATTTGATTTTTAATATGTTAAAAATAATCAGTCCAAATTT